CCCTCTCGCCATTTATTTGTGAAATTCCAAAACCTGACAGTTGGGGATTGAATTTGGGTATTGGAGAGAACCCTTTGGACCCTAAACGTTGGGGTCTTACGGTCATCTTCCTAGATGTCTCTGTCCATGGAAGGTCCTCTGTCTCCTAATGGGAGAGATCTGGGCATGGAAGCAGCGTCTTCTCAGCGGCGACCCTCAGCCGCGCAAGGCCCACCCCCGGAAGGCCCGATTGGCGCCAACCTCAGGGATCGTTCCGGCAACTCATGAAATGGTCTATACAGGAAGCCCTCCACGTTTGCTGGGATTAGGGACACGCCCCCTCCCCCCATGAAAGCGAAAAAAACGCAAATAAATTCCCACTATTTTTTATAAACCTCTCTAGGAATCTCCAGCGCAACTCTACGGTCAACATCTGGCAGAAGCTGACCATGGAATAGCGATGGAAGACCTACCAATGCCTAGCGAAGTGTTTCCTCTAGGAATTTCTAGGTCTTCTAGTGCAACTCTATGGTCAACTTCAGGCAGAAATCGACTACAGAATTGCGACGAAGCATTTTCTCTAGGAACGTCTAGGTCCTCCAATGTGACTCTATGGTCAGAGTCGCACTGGATGACCTAGAGATTTCTAGAGAAGCCTTCCACATTTGCTGGGATTAGAGGCATGCCCCCTCCTCGCATGAAAGCGGAAAAACCGCAAATAAATTCCCACTATTTTCTTTAAACCTCTCTAGGAATCTCTGGCACAACTCTATGGTCAACATCTTGCAGAAGTTGACCGTAGAATCCGTATTCCAGGAAGAAGGTGCGATATAAATAAATAAATAATAATAATAATTTATTTACACTTTGTTGATTAGTATCTACATATACTCCATTCATTTCAAAGAGTTTTTAAACTATAGTCGCCCCTCCTTTTTCGTGGGGGATACGTTCCGGACCACCGCCACCCCCGCGAAAAAGGGAAAACGCAAATATTCAAGGCCTATTGGCTTGAATGGAGGCGCGTGTGCCGCAGGCGCAGCCTCCATTTTGTGGCCCTCCGTTCGTCCCTCGCGGATAAGTCAGGGCCGCGAAAACGGAGGGACAACTGTATAGATCACTATTATATCCAATTATTCTATATTAATATCATTACCACAAATAACGTATACTCTATATCATGTTTATCTTTTTTCTTCTTCTTTTTCCTTTTATACATTAATTAAATATTCTGATTATTCTTAAAAGTACCTGAGTGTGTTTTTACTCCAGTTAAATGAGTTTCCCTATATAATATATAATCGACAAGTTGTAATTTATTATTATTATTATTATTATTATTATTATTATTATTATTATTATTATTCGATACAAGACATTTTAGGAAGGAAGAGTCAAGAATAAGAGGAATTTACTCCTGGACATTGAAGCCAAGCTTAAAGAAAGTGTAAAAAACGGATAAGAGGGGAAAATGTGATAAATGTGAAAATAATGATATATGAATCTCTATGTGAAAATGCAATTTATAAATTTGATGCTAAAAAATAATTTTTATTTTATTTTATTTTATTTTTATCCCACCTTTCTCCCAAAAAAGGGACCCAAGGTGGCTCACAATATAAAAACACATGATTAAAACAACACTTTAAAAAATAATTAAAATAGCCTAATTAAAACAGTAAAAAGTTGAAATTTTAAACATACAAAATTTAAAAATACAAAGGTTAAAAAATGATCCAAACCAACCCCTATTATTATTGTTGTTGTTGTTTAATAATACTATTAATAATTATTAATATAATAATAATAATAATAATAATAATAATAATAATAATAATAATAATAGATTCAAGCTACAAATCTCTAGAGAAGTGTTCTCTCTAGGAATCTCTATGTCCTCCAGCGCAACTCTGTGGTCAGCATCTGGCAGAAGTTGACCATTAATAATTATCAATAAATAAAATTAATAATAATAATAATAATAATAATAATAATAATAGAATTATAGTGGAGGACCTACAAATCCCTAGAGAAGTGTCTTCTCTAGGAATCTCTAGGTCCTCCGGCACAACTCTATGGTCAACTTCCAGCAGAGTTGCGCCGGAGGACCTAGAGATTCCTATGGAGGACACATTAATAAAATCTGCAAACAGTCAAAGCTGCAGATGTACTTTATATTATTCTCAATTGTTTTCGCTGGTTTTAAATCATTTGCTTTTCAGCGGAGGCAATTATGTTTTTGTTGTGGTTGGTTTGCGTGCCTTCTGGTCCTTTCCGACTTACGGCGACCCCAAGGTCAACCAATCCTGGGGTTTTTCGTGTGTGTTTTTGGCAAGATTTGTCAAAGAGGAGGTTTACCATTGCCTTCCCCTGAGGCTGAGAGAGTGTGACTTGTCCAAGCGGCGTCGCCAGTCCTTCACTCCCAGTTGTTGTCATTGTGTTCCTTCAAATCGTTTCCGACCCTATCGTGGGGTTTTCTGGGCAAGTTTCTTCAGAGGGGGTTTGCTGTTGCCTTACTCTGAGGCTGAGAGCATGTGACCCAGTAGGTTTCATGGCTGAGATGAGACTCGAACCCTGGATTCCAGAGCCATAGTCCAACACTGAAGCCACTATACCACCACGCTGGCTCTCTTTTCAATTTATGGCAACCCTAAGGCAGCCCTATCACAGGGTTTTCTGAGGGTTGAGAGCATGTGACTTGCCCAAGGTCACCCTCTGGGTTTCCATGACCAAGTGGGGATTCGAACCCTGGTCTCCAGAGTACTAGTCCAGCGCTCAAACCACCATACCAGGCTGGCTGCATTTTTAGCCCTTTAAAATCAGGATTATCTGTTGTTTTAAATTGATTTCATTGTACACCGCTGTGAGATCCTCGGATATAAATCAGCTAATTATTTTTGGGGTCTCTCCCTCATCTTTTTTTTTAAATTTCTTTTTTTATATATAAATTTATTTTATTTCATTAAATTTTGTTTAATATTATATATAAAATTCTAATTTAAAAAAAATATCTTTTTTTATATATAAAATGACCAGCTTGGTAGATGAAGGGAATGCTGTGGATAT